ACAAAAAAAATCTGCACTATTGATTTTTATTATCATACCTTACATAGTTTTGATTAATTAGTGCGTGAAATACCCCAATGTTTTACACATCAAAGCGGATTTCGCATAATTCAGGGCATAATTTGTAAATTTTTAGCAGACGATCAGCGAACTAGAGATGCAGAATTTTTATAGGAGGATCCCCAAATTTCCGGTCGGATCCATCGGATTTTTAGCAATACAAGTCAACCATTTTTGGGCCTAAATTATCAGTTGGGTAGTTTTACTTAATGCGAAAAACATTTTACTGACTATATAAAATTCTCTCTTTCAACAATAGTATTGCCAAGAGAATTTTACATATGAATGGGCTATGACTTTTTTAAATGATTTTTCAGTACTACCGATCATGATTCCTAGATGCAGGTGTAACTCCATAACCTGTCGTAACTAATATTTTTCAGAAAGATGCGGAAAGTCAATGTTGTTTGTTTTAAAGTAAATGCTTATTTGGTTCGCAGAATTTATGACATAATTTCAAAAAATAGCACAGCATAAACGGAACGATTTTATCGCATAATTTCGCATAAACGGACCTGTGAAGCAGGCAGAATTTGGGATCTGTCGCAGCAGAAAATCAGTGGCCCTACCCTCATGCATTCAATCATACCCGATTCATGTCACGTTTTCAAACAAAGTCTTGCGCCAATATTTTCTTCAGATCTATATAGCTCAACATCGTTTTATTAATACTTCTTATTAATTCATTCCACTTATCCAGCTGATTACGTTTAAAATGCATTTTTATCATAGAAAAGCCTGTATTCATTGAAAAGGTTTGATTGCAATGTTTGCAATATTACTTGTCGTCACTTTCAATAAGCTCATCCCAGAAGGGATCAGTTTTAAATCGTTTTGAGGGACGGTTTGTTGTGTACGTTCATCATATGAGGATAAGAAGAAAAAATGTTACGTATTGAAAATGTTTCTACAAGGAGATACAATTTTTTTTTTTTTTAAAAAAAAAGCATAACTTTAATTAAAAAATTGGTGAATTTACAGATAAGGGCCCAAAAATGAAAATAATTACAGATAGAAACCCGATATTTGACAAACCTATGATTTAAACCCGTTTCGATGATTTGAATATAATTTAATATAGTCATAATTGTTAACGCATAATAATTCTTATAGTATGACTTTTACTAACTTGAAACTGTTCATTCGACCTTGGATAGTTATTCTGTCGAATTTTCTTTTTCTTATAAGTTCAGAACGAACAAACAAAATAAGTGTTGACTATTTGTTTCCAAATGAAGCCAGTTTATGCTCTTTTAATATTTCAGCTAACAAGCGCAAAGATGACTACATTCATATAGTAAGGCTGATTCCTCATGATCCAACTTCTTTAACTTCTATGGAAACATTCAAAGCGCGTGGATCGTACCTTGTAAAGTTTACTGCGTCATTAGTTAAAGATATAGCAGTACTTCGACCTCGTGATATTATAAATCGTGTTCGTTTTGAAGTGGGGGCTGAAAAAGCTGTAAAATGATACGTATTTTTAAAACGTAATATGAAAGCAATTGATTTTATTATTCCTGATATTAATATATAGTTTTTATAACGTTAAATGTAAAAAGTTTATAATTCATGTAAATTGTACTGTATATTAAATAATTTAATACGTATATAGTACCTGCACCTGTACTTAAAATACTTGATGAATATTCGGTCACAAATTTTCACCGATACTCGATAATCGAAAATTTGTAATCAACCGATATTCGACATTCATCGATTCTAATCTCTACGTAGGACGGAGTGAGGCCAGTGTTAAATATCTAATGTTCTCGGTGTTCTCAAGAACATTTAAAAAAATTTGAGAACATTGTATTTGGAAATTATGTTTTCTTTTGAGAACCAAGAACATAAAATTTATAATTTATGTTCTTAGAAAGTATATAATTTCTCTCTTTTTTTTTTTTTGTCATTAACATTAAAATGTTTATGAGAACATAAAATTATCAATTTATGTTCTCAAAGAACCAAAAAAATATTTCAGATATTTAACACTGAGTGAAATTGATTTCAGATGGATATCCAATGATACTAATTATTTCATTTCTTAAAAAACAATATAAATTGAGAATTTTTTTCAATTTTATTATCGTTAGTTTATTTTACAAAACCGAAACGTAAACACCGATAATAAAACTGAACTCTGAAAATTCAGATCGACAATTTTTCTGAAACTAGCAACATTATTGTAAATATAATTAGTAGAGCCGAAAGTCACATTGCAGAAGAAACTAAGAAGCAATCCAAAAAGATGAACCATTCAAAAAAAAAAGTTCCAAGCAAGCCAGTCTTTTCAGCAAGGAAGACACGATGTTATGTGAGAATTGGATATTCTGTAGATTTTAACGTTAAGAATTTTACCAATTCAAATAAAAATAAATATGACTGATTGAAAATTAAAATTTCATCTTGTTCAAAGTGTTATAAATCGATTAGTCGATTATAATCGATTCTTAACCGATTTTTTAAAAAATGTTGTTAGAGTAATTTTACTTATGACACTTGAACCTCATAGTATGAGGCTCATACCAATTCTAATCCTAATTTTAATTGCTTTGCTTTAGACATTTTTTCAAATAAGGACAGTTCCGTAATATTTGTCTTAAGAATGAAGATAAGAATGAAGGAAAAAACTTGGTTTGGGCACATTTTGTTTTTTTAAGAAACTACACTGGCAAAAGTTATATACGTGACTTCGGTATTTGCATGCAGGTCACTCTCGTTATATGAACTATTAGTAAAAATAAAATTCACTATATCAAAAGTTTTATTAGTAAATTCACTCTACCCGAGTGAATTTTATATACGTTGAGTCTAACTTAACTACGTATAGCTATGTCTTTACGTACTATATTGAGGTGGTAATCGAATTTACAGATATAGCAAGCACAAATCATTTCTAACGTCGATCCGACAAATTGTGTAACTGATAATCTCCCCTACGCCACAAATATACGAGTCCCACAAAGTATATGATAAAATAAAAAATTCACGCGTTTTAATAATGATCTTCCAATCAATTCGCATACTAGGATTCTGCTCGAGCGCTGTTTTTATATTTCATGAGCGTTCGATCCTCATTTTCTAGTTAAACAAAAGTTTTGTGGCAATTTTTGAGAAAACTTAAAGGAGTTACTTATATATATTAACTTTTCGGTGGTTAAATTGTCATACATAAAATAAAATAACTAAGAAAGAAGATCAAACCAATCACAATTATCGTTATTATATAAAAAAATTTTATATATAAGGAAATAAACAAATAAATATGCATGCTTCATAGATCAGCAAACAATTGTTCTGTTGTTACATTCACCTGTTTTTCCTAATTATATTAAAATGATAAAGAGCAGTTTTAAACCTAGTCCTTTCAAACCTCCAGCAAGGATACCTTTAAAACCATCTAATAGTGACAACATACCCAATACATCACAGGAAAAAAAAGTAAAGCCTCTAACTTCAAATCGATCAAAGCGTATTAAAGTCAACAATGACTCTGCCGATGATGAAAACACTTATCGTTCTGAATCTGAAGATCCTGAGGATGAAAATCGCATGCGAAAAATTCCAAAAAATGATAACAAAGACTCTTCTGATACTGATGATACTGATACAAGTCTCCCAAGTGCAATTCGTTGCACTTCATCATTTCCCGCTCTTGCGAAACTTTATAGACCCTTCAAACCTCCTACTTTTACCAACCCATCTCTGTCCCTTCTAAATCAAGGGGGCATTCAGAAAAAGCGTCCTGGTTGGGGTCATCGACATGTTGTAAAGAGACCTTTGTTCGATCCATATGCTCCTGACGCGATCGTACTTTATGATCCGAATGATGATCCTGAATTAAAAGAAGAAGAAGAAGAAGTCAAAATCAAAACTAACAAAAATAAAACTGTTGCAGAAATATTGGGAATAAAGAATGAAACGAGAAAAAAAGTTCACGTGGTTGTTGGTATGTCACTATTCATTATTGTTTATTATGTTGATTGTTGTTAGGTTATATAATTAAATTGTTCATTTTCTTAGATCCCATTTTAGGTAAAAAACTTCGACCACATCAAGTTGAAGGTGTAAAGGTATTTAAGTAATCCATGGATATCATAGACTTTGCCTTGAAATCACGTTATGGGACATATAATTTA